CGTCGCGTTTTCTCTCTACGGGTTACGCTTTTCAGGTTCGTTTTCTCACTTTTGCACCGTTTTAAATTAATTTTACTCTGATTACATCACTCTTTGATGCATTATCTTTCATTTGAACCAATTAAAATGCATTTTCGTTGGATTTTGGTGCAGTTATTCTCGTGTCTTTAGGCGGCGTTCTATGGCGGCGATTTCTTGCGTTTTGTACTCCTCCAATTCCCTCCACTACGTTTCTAAAACCATCCAATAAAAAAATGTACAATACATTCTCTTCAACTAAAATATAAAGTTGTAAAGTCGAATCACCATGAGTCAGGAGCAACCTCAGAGACGTCTAACCTGTATGGATCGGATGTCTATAGAGACGTCGGACCTATATAGGTCGGACGTCTATAGAGACGTCTGACCTAAAGGGTCCGGCGTCTCATTAACGTCACCCATATAGACGTCGGACAGAGATCAGACGTTAAAAGCCTAAAATAACAGACGTCTAAAGTCCTTTTTTGCACTAGTGTTAAGTGCAATTGCACAAAGAATTCCATTGAAATACATGTGTTTGTGCACTTCAATAACACATATAACAGTCATTAACACTGTTTCAAGGTATTTGAATAGACATGAGAGTATTCAGTTGTGGAGCTCACAGACATGACATTTGAGAGGAAAGCCAACCTAGCTTATCTTCCAAGTTCCATCCCATGCCTATCTTATTTTAGTGCACCATAAACACATTATGTTTTTAAAAAGATCGGTCTTGTGGAATGTAATTTGTATACATAATCGATTACAGGCCAACATAATCCATTGTGAATGAAATTATTATAAAAGTTAATTGTGAATACTAAAATATAAGATTATTTTTCTTTATTCTTATTTCCACTTTTTTTCAACTCGTCCAAATAACCGCACTCTCTACTCTTGTAGATTAGGCTCTTCTATTACTCGTTTTTGGTTTTGACCGCTCAGTCTCATTGAGACCGTTCGGTCGTGTGCTTTCGGTTTTGACTTTGGCTATGCTGTTCATTCTTTGTTGTACTCGACCTATGTTCAGCCTCTACTGCTAATGACCATTTGGTCTTTCTGTTATGTTTGTTTTAGTTGCTTGGATTAACTATATATTGTAGTCTGTCTTTGCATTTTGAAATTAATTCAATCTCGAAGTATTATTTAGTTCATTTCTCTCTCTTTTATTCTCTTATTCATTCTTCTCTACATTTGGGTTTTCTGTTCTCCGTTTCGCACGAACCCAACAATTGGTGCCCACCGTGGGGTTGTGAATCAAGAAATTCCAGAAACGATGGCAACCAAGTTCGACAAAGAGAAATTCAATGGATCAAATGACTTCGGGCTGTGGAAGATCAAGATGGAGGCTATCTTGATACAACAGGGCTGTGATGATGCATTGAAGGGGAAGTTGAACATGGGTGCTACTCTAAAGCAAGAAGAGAAGAAAAGAATGGTAGAGAGGACAAGAAGTGCAATCATACTGTGTCTTGGTGATAAGGCGTTGAGGGAGGTTGCGAAGGAGAAGACTGCGATTGGAATATGGGAAAAGTTGAAGTCATTGTACATGACAAAATTGATGGCTCATAGGTTGTGTCTGAAGCAACAACTTTATTAGTTCAAGATGACAGAATCAAGAACCATAGAGGAGAAACTTGTAGAATTCAGCACGATTGTTGATGATCTGGAAAATATTGACGTGAGGTTGGAATATGAAGATAAGGCTGTTATTCTTCTAAATGCGCTTCCAAGAATCTTCGAGCATTTTAAGGATGCCTTGCTCTATGGTAAGGATCGAGTGATTACTTTAGAGGAGGTTGTGACGTCAATTCGAACTAAGGAGTTCCAAAAACTTCAAGATTCAAAGGCAACCGAGGTGGATGCATCTGGGCTCGTTGCAGTGAAAGG